GAGGTTGGGGAAGGACCTGCTGGGCAAACCTGCTCCCTGTTCCTGCTTGGAAAATCCAACTGCCTCCCTTGCAGAACCTGAAGTCCCCTGAGATGTTGAAGATGTGTAGGATTTGCTTTGGTCTGTGATGAGCAACTCCCTCACTGCCCTGTGGGTGGGGGAATCCACCAAAATATGTCACGCTCTCACGCTGGCTGAGCCAGAGGAGCAACTGGCCTTTCTGGCAGTCAGAGATAAGAGGGAGGTGACTGCTCCCACCGCTCTGCCCGCTACCTCCCTGTGCTGGCACTGCTGGATCTGGCACAGCACCACCAGCCCTCGGAAATCTCCCTGAAATGTGGGGAGAAAAGAGTCTTGACTCAGAAATGGCTTAGCAGAAATCATAGAATCGTCTGGTTGGAAAAGACCTTTGAAATCATCGAGTCCAACCCTACCTGTCCACGACTAAACCATGTCCCTGAGCACCTCATCTACCCGTCTTTTAAACCCCTCCAGGGATGGGGACTCAACCACTTCCCTATTCCAAAATGTCCAGGAGAAGTTTTGCTCTGGTTTTTATTACAGAGAGATGAAACAGAAATAAGAGCGAAGGAGCTGCTCTGGCAAAACTGATTTGTGGGGAAGGGTGGGGAGAGACAAAGCCCTCTCCCAGGCTGGGACTCCGGCAGGCGGGTGGCACATGGTGTATCAAGGCCAGATGAAATACGGAGGCAGTTCTTGAGGATGCACCTGCCTGACTTTTTCATCTGCTTGGCAAGCCAAGGTGTCAGATGTGGGAGCTACGTGCAAGGCGAGGAAGTGGGGTGGGATGGCACAGCTCCCACCTCCAGCACTGACGTTCTCTTTGGTTGAAAGGCAAACAGCCTCCCGGCAGCAAGGATGCACTGAAAAGGTCGTTTCTATTGTGGTGGCTACTGCTCCTGGCTCCTCCCTAAGGGGTGAGATACAGGCAAGATGACCTCGCCATGGAGGGAGAGGAGAAAGCTTGAAAGGTCGGAGAATAAACCAAGCATTAAAATTGCAGGCAAGTCCAGGCTGGTTTCCTTGAAGGACACTCGAGACACTGCTGCTTGACTGAGCACAGTAGACAGTCCCAGAGCTGATCTCCTGATACCAACAAGATCTTCCAGTATTTCCTTTTGCTTCTGCAGTGGTCTGAAAACACCTATCTTCTGAAATATTTATCTCATCCGCTTCTTCCAGGAGAGAACAAAAGGAGTGTGAAATGCACCTATAGATGGATCATCTGGTGTGCAGGGGTAGGTGCCAAATCACATTTACGTTTCCAAGCCCGAGTTCTAAAGGATCAGACAGCAATTATCACAGACAGGCAAAGGGCACTCGCTGGTAGAGGTGACAGGCACCTCATGTTACCTCCAGCACAACGTGGGCACTGAACTCTCCTGGGAAGAAACTTAGCACGAGTTTTTGAACACTGGGATAGAGGCACTGAGAGAGCGAGATGTACCCCACGTCCTTTGGTGTGGGAAAACAGGCCATCGGTACCACCCTGCCTTTCCCAAGCAGGTCAGGGACAACCAGGAGACTATTTGTCCCACCCTGAGCGTGATCTTTTGGCTGCACGTGGCTCACCTACAGACTGGGGCACCAGGAGTGCAGAGCATTACCTACCACTCCTGCTTCTTGCAACATCTGGATCTGATTCCTTCCTGGATTTTATCTGGTATTACTAGTTGTCTACCACAGTCCTAAACTAGTTGTCTGCCCAGCAACCTCCTGTCAGTGCCAGTTCAGGAAAACTGATGGTAGTCTCCGACTGTAGTCTAACCATAGCAGAACAAGTCAGCTTCCCACAAAAAACATGCACCTTCAAGAAATGGTGGCAGGAAAGGACACACAAGTCTCCTCCCAGCAGTGATTTAGCAACTGTACATTCCCTGGGAAGTTCTCCAACCCAGCCTCAACTGGCTGAACTTCCTCACTCCTCTCAAGGTGCCCAAGCAGTGAGTTGAACTGGTAGCATTCCCATTGCACCAACTATCTGCAGCTCTGGTTTGTGGGGAGCAGCTGAGAACAAAACCACTTCTCCAGGGAAGATGAGGTCCCCAGAGCAAGGGCATTACTTAGAACAGATCTGTCTGCCATGGGTACACACAGATTCCTCGCATCCCAACACAACCCTGCTCCATCCAAACCTCCCTGGAGGGGCCAATGTCATCAAAAGTGTCTTCAATGTGATGGTTTCTGGCCAGAAACCCTCCCAGTTCCAGTGAGATTTTCAGACCAACTTTGCAATCCCCGAGACACTCAGACAAACCAGAACAACTTTCCCAACCATTTTGCCCAATATTAAATTCAGTAACTTTTTGCACCATCATTTATTAACCACAAGCGCTGCACCTGGGAATACTGTACATGGCTGGGAGGGAAATTAACTGTTCCTGCACCTGCAAAGTGAAGGGAAAACATTATTTCCTCCAGATTTGTGTGACAAGGCTAGAAAACACTAACACTGAAAATTCAAAGCAAGCAAGAAGTCAGCAGTGATGGTTCTGGATTTCGCTTTGTCCCTTACCCTGGGGACTTCACTCTGCATGAGGAACCAGGCAGGAAGAGTCAGAACCCCCAAGACAGGAGCTGGCAGTCCCAGAGACCCCTTCCCTTCAGCAAACCTCCTGCCACCCTCCTCTGATCCTTTTCTGCTTTGCTGAGCTCTGTGTTAGAGTCTCCCAGGAAAGCTCTGGGGAATGAAACTGCCCAATCCCTCCAGCTGTTCCCCCATTCCCCACCCGCCAAGCCCAGGCTGTTGTATTTCCACCTGCTGCTGAGAACGTGGAGAGCGATTAATGGATTATGGCTGGATAAACAGTAAAACAGAACATATGGGAACATTCCAGCCTCCTCTGTGCCTGCTGGGCTCCAGGAGCAAGGTCTGCTGGGCAAATCTTTCAGGGGGTGAAGATGCAGTGCCAGGCCTTCCTGGTTGCTACTGCTCTGACTGGAGAGCTTGGCTACATCCAGGGGGACTGAGGTGGGCAGAGCTGATGAGGATGGATGGACCAAACCCAGGAGCTGCTGCTGTGTGTTGGCTTGTGCTTGCTGATCTGTTCAGGGAACCCTGGGAGAGACCAGGCAAGAGCAGGACTTGCTGAAATCCTGAGTGCTTTTGAGGGCAGAGCTCTCTGGATCAGGCTCTTAGCGACATGCGACAGCCAAGATGTGTTTCAGTGAGGTAGGCATGAGGACTGAGCCAAAGAAGAGGAGAATCAGCCCATTTCCCTGCATACAACCTCTGACCTCAAGCAGCACATCAATTCCTACATTTTTATATCAACAGACACATAAGGGATTGATTTCTCATTCTTTAAAACTCAGGACTCATTCACCAGTTTCACACACAAACACCATAGACACAGGAATGTACACAAAAGTATGACATGAGATAGATCTTTATTAGAAGCTTCCAGCATATTTTATCTGTTCTCCTCCTTCATAAAACTCCTCTTACTGGATATACCGGTGCTATAGTCCATATAGAGCCTGTACATCTCTCTCTCTCTTGCTATTTACTGCTACATATCTCACTGTACAACTGTACAGTGTGCTCTCTTATCAGCAATAATACACGGTCTGAAGTACAACCCCACACACATTAAAATTGCATGGCACTCTGCATTGCAAGGAAAGAGCTAAACCTCTGCTCTCTTGTTTCATAAGACAAACATTGCCACAGACTGTTCCTATAAAGCTCCTAGGCAGATCCACACAGGTATTCTGGGCAGGTTTCCCCCAGTACCTTTGTGGATCTGGTCCCTAAGCGCTTCACAAATCCCACATTCGTGCTCTTATCAGACTTGGGAGTGAAGAAAAACCCTCATGAATAATGCCCTTGAGTGATCAGGAAGGCACCAGAGACAGAGAAGAACCTGAAGCACTTCCTTTTCATTTTTCATCCCACTTTCCAACCTGGGTCCCCTCCAGCCCCACAGGGTCACACACTCAGCACCTCTTCACTTGCCATCTCCTCCCAACCAACTCTGTGTTTCCAGGATGGGAGGCAGTGGAGGGACCAAGTGATAAACCTACACCCTTCATCTGGCGATTCTCTGAGCCAAACATGTACATGTGCCTTTTCTTCCTCTCCAACATGCTCCTGTCCTCGTCGGGGCTCTTTCCCACAGCCTCCCTGAGCTCACGCCCTTCCCAGCTGCCCCATCCCCTGGCTCTGGCTGCGTGACACTTGCCCATCCTCTGCCTATGGAAGTGAGATGTGTCCTTGCAGCGGGTGCTCCTCACCCTCAGGGACATCCACTGCATCCACAGCTCTGGCTTAGCAGGGCTGAGGCAGCCACATGCAACAGAAACCCTATCTCAGCCTCCTCAACCATTAGACCAAGTCGTGACTTCTTGGAGTGAAATCCAAGAGGATGAGTCCTCCTGCAGTGAGCCAAACTGGTCATGGGAGACCTGGGTCTTGCCAAGTGAGTGGCCCCTCCAGCCCCCTTTACCCACTGCCCAGCTCACTGCAGGCAGCCAGCACATGCTTAACAAAGCACCATGTTTGGACAGAGATAGCTCTTCCACAAAGCTCTCTCCTCTCTTCCTTCACAGATACCCCAACCCCCTCATAGGAATGAAGCATTTCCCCAGTTTCTTTTGCTCTCTCCTCCTTCCACTGCCTCCCTTTGTCACCAGGTGACTTCAGCAGGGAGGACGGACAAGCAGCGCCCTGGAACAGACACTGTGACTACTCCTAGGAGACAGCACAAGTATGCAAGAAGTGTACAAAGAAAGAACAGAGCCAGCCCACGCCGGGCTCCTCTTCTGTCCAGTACAGGTACAAACTGCCTACCGTATTGTAAATGACTGTCACCGGAAGGATCCTGCTTCCTGTGACATCCTGTCCCGTGTTGGGATGGGTCCAGAGAAGTCTTGGTGCTGGGATCCAGGCTTCTCACACCACCCAAGAACAAAGTCCCCAGCCTTTGCCTCCACCATCCTCATCCGTCCTCGGGAAGCACCTCTGGTGTGGGCTGAGCCTAGGTCTGAGAGCGTCCTTCTCTGACCTGCCTTCTGAAGTAGCGGATGGCAGAAAGCGTGCCAAAACTTGCCAGGAACACTAGAAAAAAAGACCAACACATTTTCAGAGTGAGTTTGGGTGCTTCTTCCAAACCTGAAGATCTTTCTCCAGACCTCAAGAAACAGCTGTTTTTAAGAGAAACACAACGCAGGCTTCACGTGTGTGCTAGAGATGGGTAGTGGTTGGATTTACAGGTTCATGTGGAGATCTAATGGGTCTGATTTCAGACGAGAAGGCCACAGTAGAAAATCTCACCAGGGATTTAGGACAGTCCCCTCATTTTCTATTTCTGTTTGGACCAGGAAGATGCCAAGAAAAATATAAATTTGTGGGTTATCTGTAGATACTCTGATCCCAGCCAAAAGCAGAAAATACCCAAAACCCAGAATCTAAAAATGTAGAGATAGAAAAAATAAGTAATGGAGATCAAGCTCTTCTCTGTACTTTCAGGTAAAGTTTTTAGCTTGGCTTACAAGAGAGGTCAAATTCCCCTGGTTTGTGCTCAAGAAAAACTGGGAACCCAAGCCATGACTTTGGACTTCCCAGTTTAAATTCAGACTTGATTTTGATTTATGTGTTAGAGGTTGGGATATAGACAGGGAAACGCAACTTGTTAGAACCTAAAATGCCAAGAAAATTGCTAGTCTAGGATGTCAAACTGTTCTCTCACCTCACACTGGGTTGTTACGCAATCCGGAGGGCACGAGGCCCATATCCCGCTTTTCACACCCTCTCTGAGGCCACATCTACCATCCAAGACTAAGAAGGCAAGGAGGAGCAGGCCAAAAGCTCCTTGTGATGACTGCACTGAGCAACTTTAGCTAATGAGCTATTCTCAGCCTGGGGTGTCAGCTTCCTGTGTGACCTTAGCGAGGAACATTCCTCCCCTGGACAAGCAGCAGGAAGCCCTGGTCCCGGCTTCTCCTCCCGTGGTGGGGGCTCTCCAGTGACCACAGGCTGGGCCCTGAGCTCTGCACTTTCTGTCCCATGTCCTGCTCATCCAGTGACCTGCACCCCTTTGGCCACAGCTCATCTAATTTGTGCTGCCTGAGCTTCCTCTTTCCCCACTAGTTATTCAAATGATGTGGCTGGAGAGGAGAGGAACAGACAGATCTCCGTTTACTTGCAGGACTTGGTGCACCAGGATAACACTTGAGCTAAGCTCTATTTAGAAAAGAGATTATACCTCCACAGCACGTTAGAAAAATACAGGTGTTTGTCCCAGAACCTGCATACTCAAGGTCCTGATTCACCTTCTCACGGACCCTAAAGAAACCTTTCTGCCCCTGACACACTGGTACTGATCCCTGGCAGAGGTGGGATGGAGCAGGGACAAAGCCAGGAAGACAGCCTTGTCCTATGGCTCAGCTCAACTCAGCAGTCACTTTGTGTGGGCAAAGGACAAGGTAAGTGAGTAGGGACCAGGACTGTCATTGCTATAGGAGAGAGAAGGTATGAGAACTTCCCAAGGACACTTTGGGAAAGCAGGAAAATGCATTTTCCCGCAGGCAGCGTTAGGTGTGTTAGCATCCCTGCCCTTCTCCCTGCCACATCTTCCACCAGGTCCTTCCCACCCCTCTCCCACCAAGCTGGGCACTGTACGTACTGGTCTTCCAGGCATCTGGAGCTTGCAGGTCGGAGGTCTTCACTGCCCAGGATGCAAAGGCACAGAAGACGAGGCACATGTCTTTGTGGGTCAGCGCCAGCGGAGCCTGGGGCCTCCCTGTGAGAAGAAAAGCACAGAGCTTGGGGTTCTACACCACCCCTTCTGCCACAGCCGGCTCCGGTCCCTCTGGGACAGCGAATCCCTTGTGCACTCTCAGAGAAATACATCTCTGACAGACGTTTTTCCTCCTAGAAGACCTTTTTTTCACCATTGGTCAAGTCAAACGTTTAGGACTCAGTCACATTTCCGAAGGAGAAGGGCAGATTTTTCACCCCTCTCAGTTTTACACTTTGTGAAGAGCTCAAGCCAGATATTTGTTAAAGGTACCCATGGGCCTGGGAGGCACAACCAGCAGACAGGCCACCTCCAGCACCTCTGACTGCCTCACCACCCTCTGCATTTCTTCCCCATGCACCCCTGGAAGCAGGGAGATGATTTAGGAGACAGCAATTCCTGGGCTGGCTGCCGATGTACTGGGGCCACATCCCTCTGTGCAAGGTCCCCTTCCTGCAAGACAAAGCCTTGAGATGCATGCAGCTCTAGGACAACACACGTCCCCTTGAGAAGGACCAGAGCTCAGCATCTCTCTGCAGATCCCACCTCACTCCCACCACCTGCTCGGTCCAAGGAGGGAGACAGCCCTGAATGCTCTGCATTTCTTTCTCCACTGGAGTTCCAGTCTAGCACAACTCAAAGACACATTGCAAGACTAAGTTATTTTTGCTCCTAGGTTTACTTGATCAGGTTTCTAATTAAAGCTGGCTTATTAATTAGTTATGACCGTGGCAAAAGGGTATTTCCTCTGTGCAAACAGACTGGAAGCTCTTTTTGGAGGCAGCCTTTTGGGATGACTCACTCATTGTTTGGTTTTAATATTAACCGCGAGGCACTGTGGCTGTAAGCATCACATAAGCTTTAAGATAAATAAGTTGGCTGTCCTGGTGGGTCAGACTTGCTCTCCTTTTAGTCCTCTTCCTCTTACCTGCCTCCAGTAACAGTCAATGTTCAGGTAACATCTCTGGAGGGTGTTTTTCAAATTTGTGTGTATTTTAAAATCACCATCACCTCTTTCAGCTGGAAGTTGTGGACATGTTCCATGCTGTGCACAACTTTTCCCCCACCAGTATTAGACTGATGAGTAGCCCAACCTAACAGGACAGCAGCTCAGCACCCATTGCCTTATCTCACCTTATCTCAAGAGCAGGAGTTCTTTGGTAGGGAAGGATTTTGCTGCTTTGTGTCCCATTCCCTCATCAGAAACAGAGGGATGTGGTTCTGCAGGCAGTTGGGTGGCACTGGGATGGGGGATGACTGTCTCTACCAGACCTTGCAGTGACACCAGCCATGGTTGATGCAGCTATCCACTTCAGTAAGCTTTTCTTGGCCAGATTGCAAAGATCAGATCCACAGTATCTATCAGGGGACAATCAGCTAGGACAGGGACTTTGGGCCAGGCTGAGTTTCAGCCTATTGCTGTCATGACCACATCTGTCCCAGGACTGGAATATGTGGGGAGCAAAGCAAGTTACACACAGAATATACCCAAATTCCCTGTCCTCCCACAGCACCAGGATCCAGTCTGCAGGGCCTGGCCAGCAGCACTTGCTTGGCATAGGGACAGCGTGAGCATCACAAGAGAGAGCCAATGCAACACAGCATGTCACGGTGGTGGCTTTAGCCACGCTTCCCGAGATCCCTGCTAAAGCCCAGGGATGCTATGTGGCAAGGTAACTGGCCTGGAGTGTGAATTCATAGAATCCCAGACTGGTTTGGGTTGGAAGGGACCTTAAAGCTCATCCAGTTCCACCCCCCCTGCCAGCAGCAGGGACACCTTCCACTAGACCAGGTTGCTCAAAGCCTCATCCAACCTGGCCTTAAACACTTCCAGGGAGGAGCAGCCACAGCTTCCCTGGGCAACATGGGCCAGTGTCTCACCACCCTCACAGCAAAGAATTTCTTCCCAATATCTCATCTCCATCTCCCCTCTGCCAGTTTAAACCAGCTACATCTGGCTGAACCCACCAAAATGTATAGTGGACTTAACACTGCTGTGGCCAGCATGGAGATGGTCACAGCAGGACCAGAGCTGGGTGCCAGGCTTGCCGAGGGGTGATGGGAGCAGAGGAGATGGCACAGGGCAGAGGCACATCCCTACACACAGCGCTGAGCCGGGCTGTCAGGGGTACCAGGGCTTTACCTGTCAGTGCAAGGGCCATGTTCAAACTTTCTGGCCGTGCTTGGCTTCCTCCCAGCGGACCCAGTGGGACAAGAGGAAGTTTCTCTGCAGATCCTCTCCGGACGAGAGCCTGGGGGACTGGGGCTTGGCCTCTGACGAGACACATTGGCCTTTGCAGGAAGGACTTCAAAGCCCCTACAGCTTTCTTCACCTCGGAGGCTGGAGTGATGGAGAAAATCCCTCTCCAGCCTGCCCTGTTCCTAGGCCCATCTGGAAAGAAGTGTTCGTACACCTCAGGGACCGTGATGACCACAGGGCCTTTGACTGGAGGCGAGTCAGGATCCTCATTTGGCAGCTGAGCGTTGCTGCTGAACTTCTTTCGTTTCCTGTCTTTACCTTTGACTTTTTTCCTGCTTCCTTCTGGTTCATTGAAAAAATATTCATATAGTTCAGGCAAGGATATTTCCCTTTCCAAGGGCGTTTCCTTCCCCTCCACTGAGTTCCCCATTCCTTCTTCTTCCCCTTGGGAGTCACAGAACAAATAGTCGTACATCTCAGGCCAAGTCACGTCCAGGGTGTCTGCCTTTGGAGAGGCCCCAGCTGCAAAGCAAGGGGGTCCCAACTCCCTGGGGGTCTCAGCTGCTGGTTCCCTATGAGCTCCCTCAGCAGCATCCTCTCCAAAAGCTGCCATGCTCTTGGGATGGAGAAGCTTCTCTGGCATCTCCTGGCATGCCTCTCCCAAAGGAGCCGCAGCTCCACTGGCAGGGATCACTGGCACATTGTCACGTACGCCCAAGCCACCAGCCTGCCCTGGCTTTGAATGCTTGGTGGCCTTCGTCTTCCCCAAGGGCTGTGTCCCCGGCTCCTTCACCTTCACCTTTGGGGAAGAGCTCATGGCCACATCGCCATTGTCCGTGCCAGGGCTGGGCACTGGCCGCTTGCTCTCCCCTGCCTCCTCGCTCCCCAGCTTCACGGGGGCTGGCTTGGCTGCCTTCTCCTTCCCTCTGCTCTTCCGTGAGGACAGTGGTGAACTTACAGGAGCCCTCACGGGCACCACAGTCCCCTGTGCCGTAGCACCCGCGGGCTCCCTGTCCCCTTGGGCCACCTCGGTGGCACTGGCTCCACGTTGCTTGCGGCTCTTTCTCGGTTGTCCTGGCACCTTGGGCCGCACGA